ATTCCATCAGCAGAATCTGATTTGTGTTTCATTAAAATGTGTTTAAGATGTGTAAAAGAATGATAATATTATGAAGATGTTGAAAATGTGTGTATGTGTGTTGGGGTGGCACAGCTATTCATTTGTTCTCTGAGGGGGGGCTTACTCTCCCATACTTTGAAAACCCCTGATCTAGGTGCTATTATCAAGGTACTTGGACTTTTAATAATTGGGTGATTATATATGTACCATTAACTAAATTAAAGCTGACATGATGATTTAATCAAAGACAAATAACTTTTGACTCTGTGTTAACATTCTGTAGAACCGCAGTTCAGAGTTTCAACAGTTGAGCTGCTGCAGACTTAGTGCGAGCTAACTTCACACCAGCACAGGCCTGTTCATGTGTCAAAAACTGTTTTTAACTCATTCAACACCAACACTAAATACTTATTAAATAGCTTATTGATCTGTATGCTGCACTGTAACACCGTGTTTTAGTGAAAACTGACGCTCTCTTACCTGCACAGAGGGGCGGCGAACAGTCCTGATAACGTTCGAAGAGGAGAAGCTTTGTGAACCAGTGACAAAGTTCAAACACAAGCAGCACGGTGATGGATGATCCCTTAAGCCTTTTCCTGGATTTATTTCGGGTCAAAGTACAACTATCAAAGACGCTGAGACACAAAGTCAAATAAGGTCTGAGGAAATGTTACGTTTTCGAGACCAAGCAGGCTACGGGGCAAACTGTTGTTGTTGGGCCCCAGAGAACCCCCCATTATTTGTGAGGCACCCCGAAAATAAAAAAAGAAAAAACACAATTTTATATTCAGTTCAGTTCAGTTCAGTTTTATTTGTATAGCGCAGTTTACAAGACGTTATCACACAGCACTTAACAAAGGAAGGCATAGACCTTAAAAATTTAAACAGAGAACAGAGATTTAATAATGATGCCTACATTTACACACACACACACACACACACACACACACACACACACACACACACACAGAGTTGCCAATGAAGTTGGAATCATTTTTGTTTTCAGACCAATTTCCCTTTTTTCCTCTATTCATACACATTAGTAATCACTTTTGACCAGGTGCAATGATTACACACTGAGTCCCAGTTGCCCAGGTAAAACAAATTCTGACTTTGGGAAGTGACCGAAGAGTGGGACGCCCTGCCCATTGACACCATCAACAAGCTGGTGGACAGAATGCCATGATGTCTTAACGCACTAATCCATGTCAGGGGTGGCCATACTCAATATGACTGAGTGACTGAGTGACATCTGAAAGAGTAATATTGGACATTCTAATGCATGAAATCTCCCCGAATATGTGTTTCCTGTTAAACAGACCAAGGTTGAAAAATTGAAACAAAACACTTAATCCTATTGTTCAATACCCCTAATTTAGTTTCAGCCTGAATACACAGTTTGCAAAAGTTAATTGTGGTTTAATTTTTACTGTGAAATGTATTGTATGTATATTGTGAAATCAATAACGTTTTGAGAAGATATACATTTTATCGATCAAGAATAAATCATATTGTCACAATCATCACTTGAGAAGAGGTAAAAATATTTTCTTTATTCTAACTTTGTGGTCAACAGTGTATAGTAGACATTGAAGTTAACATATGGGTCATTCCATCTCAAATTTCTGCTCAAGCATCTCTAATTTGCCTCTTTTTTTGCTAAATGCAGATATGTATGAAGAACTTTTTGAAATTTCAGCTTGATGTATCAAATACTATCTGAGATTTAAAAAAAAAAAAAAAAAAAGAAAAAGGAAAAGAAAAAAAACAAACAATCGCTCATTGGTCAGCTGGGAGTCTATCCTGGTGATGGCAGGGTTCACCCTGGACACATCAACAGCCCATTACACTTAGAGACAGACAACCAGCACACTCACATTCACGTCTACAGACGATTTAGAATCACTAGTTAACCTCAGCATGTTTTTGGACTGTGGGAGGAAGCCGGAGAACCCAGAAAGAATCCACAGATTGGCCAGATTCAAACCTAGGACCTTCAAACTGTGAGGCAACAGTGCTATGTTATAAATGTGGCACTTTAATAATTAAAAAAAGTGTTGACTGTGAACATAATCCAACCTGTGATCATGTTAAAAGACAGTCCTGCTTTACACTAGTTTTCTGAGTGATTTAGTTGTTGGACAGTTGTATGTTATGAAACCTTTACTGACTTCTGGACATCCCTTTACTCTAGTTTGGGAAACGTGTTTGCAAAGCAGTGTGTTTGATAAGCAAACACAGAGGCTGAGTGGATCAACATGTGGCTTAGCGTTGTCTGCACTGTAGGCACTGACTCAGGGGCGGCTACATGTGGCAGGAAAGTAATTGGTCAGTGAAATCAATATAGGACAGAAATGAGAGACAAAGAGGCACCAGAGCTCCTACTGAGCCACGATGAAGACACTGTGTGTTGCTGTTGTTGTGCTGAGTCTCATCTCAGTATGTCAGGCTGCATCATTGGCCTGTGAGAAGCTGATGAAGCCAGCAGACAAAGCTATAGATGTAAGTCTGTTTCCATACTGATTACCAACATTGCATTTTAAACTGCTTTGTCAGACAACAACTAAACTAAACAAGTGAAGAAACTATTCACAAAAAGTAAATTCCTTGCTAAAAATCCACAATCTTCTCTTCTTTTATGTCAGTTTTCTGGAAAATGGCGCTACATAGCTATTTCCACAGAGGTCTGTTTGGCTACAACATTAGTCGATGTTTTTTTGTGGCCAAGTGCTGAAGTGGATATTACAGCTAAGGACACACCAAACATCTACAACGCCAACGTCAATTATAAAGTGTAAGAAATCTATCTACTTCAATTGGCAAAATGCTTCACACAGTCAAAGCATTTGTATATCTTGTTATGGATAGTTGTTCTGTCAGGTGTCAAATCTTAAACAAATCCCCTGCAGGTATGGAATGTGCTACAATGAGTCACTGCCACTTTACTATGCGAACCACAACGTGTTTAATGTCGACAGCAACAGTAAGAGTTTTGTTTAATACACTGTATGTGCTTTTGTCTTTTTGTCTCTTTCAAACATTTACACTGTAGACTACTGACCCTGCTTATTCACACACTTGCTCCCATTCATTCTATCCCATTAACACACACGATGGAAAAAAAACAAAACAAAAAAGAAAACAACAAAATAAATTACTAACAATTTACAGAGGCAATAGTAATCCACTAAAACAGAGCTGTTGCAACTATTAAAACTTTAGGTTTTAATGTTACTGTGATTATTGTGTTTCTTATTGTATATTCATTTTTAATGTTGTGAATCAGGTGTGGAATTATAGTAATATAGTTTAATTTATGATCACATTCTTTCCAACAGATGCTCCAATAGGCCAAGCAGATGTGATGCTGCAAACTGGTTGTCCTGACTGTCTTGTTGTAAAGGGGTCCGACTTCATGAACACTCTTACGCTCTTCAGTAAGAACAACAGAGGGATAGAATCTGAAAATATGTAATGAGATTTTAAATATCGGTGACATAGCGTAAATGAGACGATACTCTCTCTGGGAGATTCATTTCCTGCCTTCAGATCATTCATAATTGAAAAAATAATGAGTTAACTATAACCTATAATATACAGTATATGTGTGTGGTGAACAAGCTAATGAAGTGAACAAATATTACAATTATTTCGGATTAACATGTGCTAATTTTGAATGACAAATCTGAATATGTGCTATATAAATATAGATATCTGTGCAGTGTTTAAGGAGGTCTAGTTTTGTGAAGACAGGAAATCCTCACATGGCTTGTATCTCAGACGTGTCACTTCCTCACCAGGTAAGAGAAAGAGCGTAGATGCTGCTGAAATGAAGGAGTTTGAGACACAAGTTGAGTGTCTTGGCTGGTCCAAGCCCCTAGTTTTTAACACAGATCACGGTGAGACTTTTACCACATGTTTAAGGAATTTTAAAAACCTCTGAAATGACTTCTCTCAAACATATGTTACATATATACCCATGTAGTTAGTGTAGACAAAAATAGCAGGATGTTGCTGATGTTCTTTAAAAAAAAAACACACACACACACACACACACACATTGCTAATGTTTTACTACAATAGTGCCATGATTTTACTATTACGTTTACTAAGTACTTTTTACAAATCAGCTTGCACATTAAACAAATTGTGTAGATTGTTGATATTTATTGTCTGTTTCAATCTCCCTTTCTAATTTCCATGTACAGATTATGAAAACTGCAAGTCTCTTGATGATGATACGGCTGATGTGGAAACGATGCAAAGCTACTTTAACGAGATGTCTAAAAGGGTGACAAACATGAGTCACAAATTAATCCGGTGTATCATAGAAATTATTCTTTGCCAGATTATCACCTTTTTTCAGAAGTAAGTAGCCTTTGCTTGATGAGCCTTGTTTAGATGGTGTAAGACATGAATGTCATTTTTCATCACTGAATTGGAATGCAAATAAAGACAATGTTGCTATTTCTCTTCCTTCAGAAGTGCATGTGTGAATCACAGCAACTACAAGCTTGGTATGTGCATTCATGTGTGCTTACAAGTCTGTTTGGTTTTATCTAAAAACATGTCTACAGCTGTGTCAGTGATTCTGTGAGGCTGTACTTTGACACCAAGGTTATTTGAGCCAATAACTGCTAACATAATGGTGATGCTAACATGCTGATGCTAAACAGGTTTAATGTTTACCACGTTCATTCGGTGACGCAACAGTAGGTACACAACATTCACAGTTCAGTAGGTTGCTGTTTAGTACATTGTGCTAAATGGTTTTCTTTGATGTGAAATTATTATCATTATTATTATTATTATTATTATTATTATTATTATTGTTATTATTATTATTAGCAGTAGTAGTAATATTGATAATAACATCAGGGCTGCAAGGTGGAGCAGTTGGTAGCACTGTTGGCTCACAGCAAGAAGGTCGCCGGTTCGCGTGGAGTTTGCATGTTCTCACCGTGCAGCGTGGGTTCTCCAGCTTCCTCCCACACAGTCCAAAAACATGTTGAGGTTGATTGGTGATTCTAGATTGTCTGTGAGTGTGAATGTGAGAGTGCTTGGTTGTCTGTCTCTAAGTGTAGCCCTGTGATAGACTGGTGACCTGTCCAGGGTGTCCCCTGCCTTCACCCTAAGTCGGCTGGGATAGACTCCAGCCCCCCATGACCCTGGTGAGGATTAAGCAGTGTGTAGATGATGGATGGATGGATGATATCAAATATTATTATTTTGATAACAATAATTATTATTATCGTTGTTAATGATAATAATAACAATCATCATCATCATCATCATCATCACCATCATCGCTACTATAATAATAATTTTATTTTTATTATAGATTTTTTTCTACATTTAATTGTGGGACCTGCTGCTCCACTATAGCCATGTCCACACAGGTCCATTTGGTTTCCGCATTAGTATATGATGTTGAATTGTAAAATGAACCTAACATCTAGAATTTAAACAATAAGGTTAAAATGGGGAATTAAAGTAGTTGTAATGCTTTGTCTTATTAAATATTTCTTAGATATGAGGTGTAGCTTTTTGTTCATACAGAACATCAAGTTTTGACATAACCAGAAAGAGGTTTTGTTTAATAAGTATAGTCTGTGTACAGATGATGTGACTGTATGTCTCTTTGCCTGCAAACTAATAAGATCAGCAGGCAAATATGGATACTTGTGAACCATTTTGAAACTACATTTGTGTGTTATCAGGTTTTGAACAGCAGCTGTTCGTACCTTTGGGGAAGTCAGTTTGATGTTTAAATATAGTTGATGTACTGCATCTTGACAGAAGTTACAAGAAGAAATATTTACAATGATATTTGTGCAAGAAATACCGTGACAGTCGTCTTATTCAATGGAAGAATGAAATTATGGTTGTGTAATTGGTACTAGCAGTTTTCTTATTTTTACAACACATGTCCTAGATTTGCTGCAGCAGAGCAGACCTCATTATGACGAGCTGTGACTTAATAAACATGGTTTGTGTTTACCTCAGTCGAGTCATGCAGATAGTTTTGCTTCCATTTTCTTTGAGACCATCATTGCTGAGCTATTTGCTCACATTATAATACATGAATAGAAATTGGCTTGTGCTGCTGCAAGCACTGAGAAATTGCTTTTTTAAAATTCACAAGCAATTCATCTTAACACAAACAATGCCCACTGTGAACAGTCGTAATGGGAAGAATGACATGGACTACGTGGAAGGAGATTAGAAGCAAACAAAATGAGGTAAATCAGGATGCATAAAGAGGGTAAAACATTGAAATGCTCTGCACACAGTGACTCAAAGCCTTTTTATCTATTCAAATGATGAACATACATAAATTCATCTCTATGCCACATTAGCATAGCAGCGTAGCATAAACTAAAGAGATTTGATTGTTGGCAAATCTTTGCAACCTAATGATTTCTTTGTACAAACTGAAATATTGTTTTTGTCATAATATTTAATAATGTTCTTACATGTGTATTATCAAGTGCTTTAAAGTGTGTACATTACAGAGTATAGAGATCAGCTTTACTTGCCTGGTAAAAGTGGCAGAAACTCTCTCTTCCTTGTAGGCTTGAAACTACACTTTAAATAGAAGACATTGTGGAAAGTACACTTCTCCATTTAATGTAGAGCCAGATAAGAATATTGATTTTCTTGTGTATCCAATACAGAGTTCAAACATACCCTACTATAGAAAGAGCATTTCGGTCACTTAGCTTAAAGGCTAACATGAAGAAAAACAAAAACTAAATGAAGTGAAAAAACAAAGGGCTCAACTATGATACAGTGAACCTATAAAAATACAATGCATTACACAAACAACAGCAACTAATAAACAAAAAAATAAAGTAAAATATATAAAAGATTTAATATGCTGAATAGAATAGATACTACAGAGTCAAGGAAAATGTATCGATTTTCTTTTTTCTTAACAATGCGGATGTTTAGTCATGGGTCAAAGGTGTGACCATTAAGAAGAAACACACACACAAACAAGGAAATCTGCATTCAGTACCATTTGCTCACACTGTGAATGTTACTGCTGGGATTGTTGTCCGTCTGAGTTGTCTGAGATCCTTGATTTTCTGCTGCACGTGAAAAACACTGTCGCCAGATCCTCAGAAATGCCGTCTTGATTTTCTGTACTTTGAATGCATACACAACTGGGTTGACAGCTGAGTTAGCATGAGAAAGCACAATGCCAACATGGAACGCTGAGATCGGCACATCAGTTGGTTTACCAAAGTAAACAATGCAGTTCATTAAGTGGAGAGGGAGCCAGGACAGAGCAAACAGAGCCAAGACCAGGGACAGAGATCGTGCAAGCTCCTTCTCTTTCTTCATGTAGCTCTCAGACTGTTTTGGGGTAACGCTGCCTGGTTTCTCTCGAAGGTTGCCTCGAATAGTACAGAAGATATAGCTGTACAATACAATCATCACCAACAGAGGTGTGAGGTTGCAGAGGAAAAAGTTGAAGTACACCAGGTACGACATGGGGATGACGGCTATGAACTGGCAGACGATTGTAGAATTGACAGACTCTGACAGGTTTTTGTGGTTGTACCATCCGAGTGTGGGAGTGAAGCTCAGTGGCACTGCAACAAGCCAACATGCAGCGACCACCAGATAAGAATGTCTCTGGGTTACAGTCCTTTTGTACCTATACATTTAAAAAACAAAAACAAAGAAGAATTGTTTATGTATTTGTGTGTTCTGTGTGGTGTCAAAAAAATACTAAAACAAATTAAAGTAGTATAGCAACGTTTGAGTATAAAAAAATGCCAAGTGTAGTGATGTAAATGAAAGTGTTAGCGACAAATAAATGGTTTGGGTGATAAAATTATTTTAAATGTGAAGGTAGGCTAAAGTGATACAATACTGAATCCCTGACCCTGTCTGTGCTATTTTACAGCTATCTCCAAGAAGCCTTAGTAGGTGTGAATAATCTTACCTGAGAGGGACGTACACCCGGAAGAACCGGTCCACTGCAATAGCCAGAAGAGACAGGACTGAAACTAGAGTCAACAGGATGACCACACAGCTGATGAAGAGACAAGTGTGGAATGAAGTCTTCACTCGTCCATCAACAACAACAGCCAGTGGTATGGCCACGCAGCCAACCATGAAGTCAGCCACAGCCAGAGACACAATAAGGCAGAAGGTGGGCTGCTGAATGCTTTTACTGGTCCACAGCGCCAAAATAACCAACAAGTTACCGAGACAGCAGCTAACAGCGATGAGCACTTCCACCAACATGTAAATAACTTCTCCAGCATTCATCGTGCCTCCTATGAAGCAAATATCTGATGGTTGCTGTTGCAGCGTATCTGAGTCTGAGCCTGACTGTGCTGTGTGCTCTTCTGAATCCTCTGAGGAAGTTCTTCCTCTCAACGCACATCTACAATTGATCTATATGTCTAGAAGTAAAAAGCAACCTCTAGTATCGTTGCAAGTGGTTTATGTGAGCTGGTAATAAATAGACAAGCTGTCTAAAACATAAGACGCTACAAAACCACATCCTTGATGAAATGCAGTGTGGCTGTTCAAAGAGATCTATATGCACATACGTTCCCTGGCGTGAGCATTTGGTTATTTATGTGGGTTAGGCATATTAGTGTGAAATACATTTCCGCTTATTTAAGCTTCTTCTGGTTTCCAGTGCAAGTGCAGCAAATGAGGGTGCACACAGACTTTTCCAAAATTACAAACCGTCAACTGATTTGTGTTGAATTGGTACTCTAATAATAAGAGTCTCTTTCTTTCCATCACTTAGAGGAACATTTTCATTTTGTAAAACAATCTCTGTAGCTAAATTTAGGAGCTTCCGTGAACATGATTCTTGCTTTGCTAGTTCTTCAACTCTCCACAAATAGATCATGTAAGCCTGTTCTTGAAAACCAAGTGACAATGTATAAAGTGTGACATGGTATCTGTATATAGACTTGTAACAATAGAACATGTGAATTTACAGACAAATCTGGGCTAACATTCGGCCAGCTTTGATACACTCCCACATTAGATAACACTGTACTGACATAATGTAGTCCACCTCTCCAGGGGCTGGTTTTGCAAATATTGTTTAGATTGATCTATGGAGCTGAACCAGTTTAAAGGTTGTCCATAGATTACCCTAACGCACTTTCACCAAAAGGTAGAATGGTTTATTTTAACTCTAAAACTTTAGCCAACCTGCCCTCATGCTAAACTCTGGCTCATGACACTCTGTTCATCTCCTGTCATTTGCATCTGTCTGCAGTTTCCTGTTCATTGTTTCTTACCCAAAATAGAGGCGACTACCAAAGCATCCAAGTTTTTGTATTCCTACAAACTTTGCTTCATTTCCAACAATATCCT